AGTTCAACAGTTAAAATACTCATGTCTCGCAAGAACATGATAAACGACATTTTTCACTTAAAACAGATTATAACATGAACACCAATAATTTTCTGGGTACCAAGAAAAATAAATAATCTGCCACACATTTCTCAGGCTATAAATAGAGAGGAGTAGGATATCCCTACCTCAAATTCGGAGCCCCAAAGGAGAAGATGACAAAACCCAACGTGCTCCAAAACCCGAAATTTTCAGATTAAAATGTATCCCTCGACGATCAACAACTTTTTTGTAAAGGCCAAAGGTGAGCAAATCACTCCTACTAGATCAAAACTTAGAGAGAAGGTTGAGTTCTAGAGTGAGAGGCTCAACAATGGTGTTTTTGGAAAAGTAGGAAAGAGAAGAGAAGGTGAAAAAGTGATTTAAAAAGTCAAAACACGGAACTTAAATCCAGTCGACCCGCTCGAGCGTCCAACTCTCCGCTCGAGCGCCACTCACAGACTCCCGCTCGAGCGCCAACAATCCCGCTCGAGCGGAGGATACACACTCCCAGAACTTTTTACAGAACCAGGTCCCCGCTCGAGCTTCCAACTCCCCGCTCGAGCTTCCAACTCCCCGCTCGAGCGGCACTCACACAACCCAGCTCGAGCGGCCAACTCCACGCTCGAGCGTCCAACACTGCACAGAAAATACTGGATGGGTGCAATTCCCACTCGAGCGTCAAAACCTCCGCTCGAGTGGACAGGTAAAAATCTGGGCAACTAGTTTTGGTTTCCAAACTCAACCAACCTGTAACAAACCTGCTCAACACATCCTATAACTCAAATACAAAGTAAAAAGGATGTAAACAAGATAATAATCAACTACCAACATCCACGGACACATGTCCGGATCACTGTTCAACAAGGGTAAACCCGGGATCGCTATAAAATTTTGACTAAATGTTTTAGTCAACAATTTTAATTAAAATTTTGGAGGGAGGATTTTGAATTTTTGAAGGGTTACTAAATTAATTGGCGACGAAACTATTTTTCAATCGGGAAAAAGTTAAAATTCTATCTTTGGCGACCAAATCTGTTAGTCAGGAAAAAAAAAACAAACAAACAAAAAAGGGTAGGTTTGCAAAACATCACCGTTTTTGGCTAAATAAGCTCCAATTTCTCTGCTTCTCTTTCCGTCTCTCGCTCTTACGCCTCTCCTCCTACGATCTCTCTCGCACCGTCGTACCTCTGTCGATCCACCATTGGAACATTATCCCAGGTATATCTTTCGCCCTCTCTCTCTCTTCAGTGCCTCTCTCCCTCTCTCCTGCTCCTCTCCCCTCCCTCTCTCCCCGTCGAGCTTCAATTCTAGGGTTTTGAGACGTATATATATGCCTTAGATCTTTTGATGTAAAGATTCAATCAGAGTTCTTCAAGTTCTTCTTCCACTTCTTTAATTGGAGCTCGATCTAATTATATGTTTTGCTTGTTTTGTGCATTGCAGGGTCAGAAAGACCTCTTTGATGAATCAGTATCCTTCGTGGATTGTTTATTAGTCTAATTGTTGAATTTAACAGTGTTTGTTTTAGTATATTTTTACTTTTATTTCTGTGGATTTGGTATTGTTTGCCTTGAATACTTGCTTTTAGATATGTGAATAAGAAGTTTAGCAATCAATACAAGGAAACAATCAGAGCTGATTTCTTGACTAAAGAAATGCAGTTTGAAGATAGGCTCTTTACTTTATAGGTTAGTGATAATGTTCAATTTTTTTGTTATTGAATTCATTTTTATGTTTTTTTGTGCTCAAATGTTGATTCTTTATAGTTGTTGAACAACGTTAGTGTTGGCTTCTCATTATATTTGATTTGGTTGTTGAGAAAGGGATAATTTGTAGGAAGTACTTGTGAAATAGCCCTCATTCACCAACAGTAAAAGATGTAATTATTAAATAAAAAACAAAGGCTAATATGTAATTAGGCAAATTGTAAGGAGATATTTTTAATTTACCCTTAAATTTATTTATTGAAATATGAGCAAATTAATCAGGAGCACTAGAAAATGTTCACAAATATTAAGCATACTTTAGAATACATTTGAGAGCCCTTTCAAGATAATTAGCACAATTACAAGCCACAACCAAAATTGGAGCCTAATAATTCAGAAAAGAGGGATGCATATGTGATGACTTTTAAATAGAAAAATAAATAAATAAAATAGAAGAATTAAAATGATAACATGATAACATTATAACTATTAAATTACAAACAGAAAAGCACAAGCACACACATCAGTTAAATGAAAAATGTGCAGGGGAATAAAATAACAGCCTAAGAATTTGAGCCAAGTTTTTCAAATGTGTTGAACAACTACACCTCAAATGGTGACCGTCTATTGTAATTTATAATAGAGTGCATTGTATATGAACAATACTATCAGGAAAAAAAAAAAGGGAAAAACCAAGCAGTAAAAGCTCTCACTCAGAAAAAAGAGAAGATAGGATCAAAAGGAAGATTGTAGAATAAAAGGAGAGTTTTAAACGTAATGTGACACCCCAACGAATGTCACATGCTATAACTATATTATTATTCATCCTTGAATACCCTAAGCCCTGCCTTATGTTGTATGTCTACTTGAATTAAGACTTCTTTAAGAATTAAAAGTGAGAAACACACCTTGATAAGACAAACCAAAGAATATAATTACTTGAGAATGAGTTTGAAAGTATATGTTAATATAGAGCTTTGAACATGGAAATCCTTATGTCTTGTATTGAGAGTTAGGGAAGGACTTTTAGGTTGAATTTAGTAAATTTTGAGTTTCCCTATTCACTAATCAAGGAGCTTAAATATTTTAGACTAATGTGCTTGTCCTTTTGCCACTGTATTGTTTTTACTAATTGGGATTAGTGCTAATTAAGTAGAATTAGTGAACTTTAATCATGATTAATTAAGCTAAGTAAGATTAAGTTAAACCTTGATTAATTAGAGATTAAACTTGATTAATTATAACTAAGATTGATTAACTAAGCTAATTAATCCTTGGTGATGCATACACACACCTCAACATTTCCCACAAAACAAAAGAGAAGAATATAGAAAAAGAGACAGAGCTCTAGAGTTTATTTAGGCTAATAAGGATTAAAGAGTAAGCAAGATTGGTTAGGACTAAAGCTTGGTTAATTAAGCTAATGGGACAAGTAAAACACTTAAGGTAATCTTGATTAAGCTAAGCTAAGCAAATAAATTAGGATTTGGTGAAGCATATAAGTTAAGTATACCTATCAAATAAATTTTAGGGGAATATCGTACCTATAAGTATATAAGTTTCCAAATGAAATTTTGTTGATGGATACTGTAATTCCTTCTTGGTACAGTTATTTTACTTACATCACTGTAGAACAGTTGGCTCGAACTCTGGAGGCAAAATACATGTCTGGTACTTATTATGCATACTTGTTAATTGTGTTAGTAATTTTCAAATTCAGGCATCAACCTTTTGTTTTCTTAGTTATTCTTTTATAACATTTTGTATTCATGTAACGCCCTCAAAATAATAACATTAAACCCATCAAATAAGACATCCGTAGATATATGAAATAACCACATTCTTTTATTTATCAGAGTTTCATTACAAAAAGTATTACATGTTAACAACAAAAGCAAATGCCTTATGGGCTTACAGCTTTCCAAGTTAACACTTGGTTACAACAAAAGAGTACTAACTCATTTACACATTAAGCCCTTGGCTTGAAATTAAATGTAATACATCAAAAACAAAACGACAAAAGTATGTCCACTTCTAGCCTCCCAAGCTATGTCCTTGGAGGTGGCATGCTACCTGCACCTGAAAATGATATTCCCATATAGGGTGAGCCACAGCCCAGTAGAAATACACTAAACCAACCATGAACAATGACTAAAAGATTAGCAACTGATAGATGGTCAACACTGACACTTCCATTTACATCTCCCTACGTTACCATGACAGCCAAGTCTATATTACAATTCACTTTTCATTTTTGTTCAACTTTGAGTTTGAAAACAAGGCTCAGTACTCTGGCCAGAACGTTTGATGAGATTATAGTTCATCACTAGAACACTTTCGAAATCCAAGGTGGATACACATTATGGTGTTGTACCAATAACACATAAACTACTCCCATACTTCACAAACAATGATGACTTACATTTGAATGCTATATCAAATCAAACAAACTTTTCAATAGATAAGCATATGAGCTCTAATTCGCTTAGGCTACATGAAAAACCACCAACAGATCTTAGTTTCTGTATCAACATTAGGAACAATTCTGCAGTTACTTGAACAGATACATTTTTCCATTTTCAATTTTAGCCTGAAACATTTTATTCTTGAATTCATTTTCACAGTAGTGTTGGAGAAAATAGATGAGCAAGAAGGTTTCAAGCTGTTTGGGACCACAGATTCTTGTGAACCTGAAAATGCAGTAGAAATACTCGAGCAAAGGGAGCAAAAGGTCTTATTTCATGAATCCACTGAGTTGGGAAGAGCAAGCAACTTGCGCAAAAGTTTAGATTGGGATACTGCTTTTTTCACCAGTGCAGGTATGCTTTTACAAGAAATC